TCCTGCTGGACAGTGACTAAGATTATTGTACCTTTTTTCTTTGTTTTCATAGAGCTGTATATTTATATCGAAGGAAACGTTATTTATGCTTGAAAAAAAGTAAAAAAAAGGACATAAACCAAACAAGTACTGGCTTCTGGCATTTTCACTGGCATTTTGACTGATAGAAACTGGAATGAGAAGAGGGAGCTGGGATGGCAGGTGCTCGTCAGAGTCTGCATCAGCCCAGCTGTGGAAAGAGGAATCTGGTGGTGGCAGGTTTGGGGGAGGTGAAGCTTGTAGGAAAGGAGGTCAGAGAAGGGATCTGTTTGTTGGTTTGGGTCTAGAGATTTCACAGAGGGAAAAACACTGTTGTTCTGCATGTGTTTTAGTTGATTTCTGTGTAACAGAAAACTGATAAAACTTACTCTGTAAAGTTTTACTGAGAGATTAACACTGGGCCACCATTGCATTATTTGGGGGGGAAAGGGCGGTGTTGGGGGATGAATAGAATTAGTGAAGTGCCTTGCTTTGCAAAACTGGTAAAGTCAAGTGTGTGCTTTAAAGGGGCTGATAGGTAGGGGAGGGATTATGAGTGAGCCCCCCCTTTTCATAAAGCCATCTAATACAAATGACCGTCACACATTGTCTCTGCAATCTGAGATTTTTGTATGTTCACTTTTCTTTCTGAAGACGTACATGCAAACTGCATACTCGTTTCTCAAAGAAAGAAAAAAGTGAAATTTGGCCCTAGATCCCTAGTTCCTCACCTGCAAAAGGAGATTGATTGTGTCCCAGATGTTCTCATAGATTACTTGTGACAGTAAATGTGCCTGTAACTGACTGCACACCTGTCACCCATCATGTACCCCATTCTGCTGCTGCATAATTGTTTTAATTTTATCTTTGGAACACCATTTAGATAGGGTAAAGTTAAAAAATCAAGACACTTTAGACAAAAGATCTAAAGAAAGGCAGCTTTGCATGGAATTCTAGGCTCATAATATATGCACCAAACTATCTTGTTTAAACATGAAAAAAATCCATCTAAAGACTTGATATCCATACTCTGCCAAATGAACCTCCCTAGAAATATGTTGCGGTGCTCCAAACCTTTGCAAGACGCAATCAGAGTGCCCGGCTGCCCCTCTGATTTTCTCACATTCCCTCCCAATGGGCGTGCCCTCTTGGCTTCTGCTGAAGTCACCTCCTCCTCTGTCCGCAGCAGGACCATGCTGGGACTTAAAGATTATATCAAGAATAAAAAGTGAAATTCACAAGCGCAGGTAGTGAGGGGAAAATGCCTCACTGGAGGTAGCATGTTAGTATCATGAGCCAAACGGTGAGCAGAGAAAGAAAAGGATGAACAGGCTGGTGTAGAATATACACTATTAGTTGCTTTGAGCAGCTTTAGGCATCCAAAAGCAGTCTGCAAATCTTGGATAATGGCAATTTGTTACAGCTCCCTCCCAGAGAATTTTTGAAATGGGTCATAATGCCTCACTGTGTAAGGGAATTTCCCATTTAGGACAAATTGTACACTTGGGAATTACTTGGGTTCAGAACACTTTCTCAGAGTTGGATGTCTTAGCAGTTTTTGATACCTTGGGGGGTGGAACTGGGGGAGTGGAGGGGATGAGCAATTTCTTGGATAGCTTTCAGACAAGAAGAACAATGATAATAACGAAATAATGCACATTTGCATGAACTTTCTCACATTGTTTCACTTGTTCCTTACACTCTCAGGGATGTAGAATAGTTATTATTTTTTTAATTTTAATTTTTATTATCATTATTTTTCCATGTTACGGATGGAGACTTGGTATCTGCACCGGTCAAGTGACTTGCTCCAGATGATAAAATACTAGGATTTGGAGCTGGTTCTCGAACTTAGGTCTTGTAGTGTATACTGTACCTGTCTTTGGATGGCTCTTATGGTAATCTTCACAGCTGCCAGTGAGCTACAAACCCTGCAGCACCAACAAATGGCCTCCCTCTGCTATTCCTCCCCTGTCAAACACAGCGTTCGCCATGAATTCAAAGCCTCTGCTGGGCAGGGGAGAAAGCCAGATTAATCTCAGCAGGGCTTGGAAAAGCATGAAGCAGGTCAGAGGCTCTGTTTTCTGTACCCCTCATTGCACATCAGGGAAGAGGACACATGCTGAAGCCAGATTGCCCCAGGAGGGGTGTGGGGGGAAACTTGACTTGGGACTTAACTAGCTGAGTGACTCTGGACAAGTTACTTAACCTCTCTGTGCTTGGCTTCCTCATCTGTAAAACGTAGTTAATTATAGAACCTACCTCCTAGAGCTGTTGTGAGAGATTTTGAGCTACTCTGTGTGACTGCTAGGTGGGCTGGAGGTCTGGACGGTATTTGTGTTTGCTACAAATGATGCTTCACGATGTGAGCTCCAGGACTGTACCAGGATCGTAACCTTCTGTCCACACAGATGTTTGAGCTCTCCTGTCTACAGGGAACCAAAAAACGTGTTGGAAATAGCCAGAAGTCTGTGTTTGTCTGATTCTGTTTCCTCACCTCTGAGTCATCCCACTCCCACCTCTTCCTGAGACTCTCACTCCCTATTCACTGCTATCTTCCTAATAATCAAATCCAACGATTTCCCACCCTTGATTTTCCATCTCCTTGGCTTTTTTTTTTTTTTTTTTTGCGGTACGTGGGCCTCTTACTGCTGTGGCCTCTCCCGTTGCGGAGCACAGGCTCCTGACGCGCAGGCTCAGCGGCCATGGCTCACGGGCCCAGCTGCTCCGCGGCATGTGGGATCTTCCCGGACCGGGGCACGAACCCGTGACCCCTGCATCGGCAGGCGGACTCTCAACCACTGCGCCACCAGGGAAGCCCCTTGGCTTTGTTTTTAAGGTATTTGTTTCTGCTCACCAGCCTCTTAGAATGTGGTTCTTGCTTGGTTTTAGTGATGTTTCCCTATGTTGTTTTCCTTCCTAATTCTCCAGCAGTTTCTCCTTCCTTCAGTGGCTGCCCACTCTCTCCTCAGCAGGGAGGCCAGCCTCAAGGTGCTTCTCATTTTATTAAAAAATATCTATGTTGTGTGTAATGACGATCCTTCCTACCATCTTCTGGTGTACCCTCTAAATCTCCGCTTGCATTGCATTCCAGTGCACACGTGGGCACCTCTACGTGCACAGGCCATGTGAATGTGCATAAGTGCACGACATGTGTATACACACTATGTACCTACCATGTACAAACTATATGTCCACACACTGTTATACGGACACAGACATGCATTTGCCCACTGTATATGTGTATGTGAACATACACAGTATACGTATGAACACTATATATGTACAAACATACTTTATACACCCTATACATGTATATATGTACCCATAATACATATATACACTATATATATACATGTTCAAACGTGACATATATATGTACATATACAGAGACATTATATACGTACATCTACCATATATTATATGCATATGTAATATGCATATGTATATATATGTATATATACAGATATATGTGTATATGTATATGTATATATACATATGTATATACAGGTATATGTGTATATATACGGATATGAATATATATATATACTCCTCTCTCTAACTACACACACACACTACTATTTCGGTCCTGTTTATCATTCATCTGTGCCCCTAGTACTATGCCTCGTTCTTGATAAATACTGGTTCAGTGTTGTGTGAATCCTGGAAGCAGTAGAAACACAGATTTGCCATTAATCATGTTTTTCTTCATTCATTCCATCCTCCATCACTAGTCCATCCTAGCTTCCTAACTAAGGCCATGCCCACAACCCATAATCTCTGTTCTAGAGAAGTTCACAGTCTACTGGGAAGGAGAATCAGGCAAGCAAATGCATCTAATCTAATGTAGTTAGTGCTACATTGGGGGTGTGTTAACAGGTTGTTAAGGGAGCCCAAAGAAAGACAGGTCCTTTGAATACTAGAAATCATGAAAAATGTGTATGCATTCACTGGGCGGGGTAAAGGGGATACCTGGAAGAAGAAACAGCACGTAAATCAGAGAGGGATGAGGTAACAGGTTATGCCAGAAACATGGTGGGAAGGTCCAAGCACTGGGTGACCAAGGAAGGAACGTCAAGGTGTGTTGTCTCACCACTTGACAAGCTATTGAAGCTGCTTCGAACCGCTTGCTTGTTTGCCTATGTCACAGGGATTTGGGAGATGGTATGGAAAATTGCTTTGAAATGAACATTAGGCCTTGCTATATTATTTGTTGATTTATAGTGAATATATGGATGAATTGAAAACTGGACTTGGAAATGACATGCTAATAATCTTAGGTTGTATTCTTTAGGCAATGGTGGGGGACAGGGGTGAGAGTTCCACAGACCTTAAGCAAAGGGGTGATGTGATCAGATCTGGTGGAAGAAGATAAGTGGCAGCAGAGAATGGCAGTGGTGATTCCAGTTAGGACCGTTGCAAGTTCTGCCTGGATTCTAATACTGCCTCCACCATTTATGAACTTTGTGTGTTTAAGCAGATTACTTCATCTAAGGCTCAGATTCCTCATCTGGAAAAAGAGGGTGGTAATACCTACTTGTAGAATTATGGTGAGGAATAAGGA